GGGTCTTAAGGATTATCAACTTGAGAGGTATTAAGAGCTTTTCAAGCCTTTGGCGCTCACTCAATTAGGTCTTAGCTCCTCCCCCCCCCCTCGAGGTGAGAGTTGAGACTCCCATTCCAATATCTGTGTTTGGTGAATGAGATTTTGTAGGTTAGGTTTTCTTCCTTTGCTCATTGTGTTTTGCTTTTTCTTATTATCAGTTTACTGATCTGCATCCTTCCTTTTCTTAGGCCCCAGTTCCATGGCTCCAGATGCTGAGGCAGTGAGAGCTAAGGTGGCCTAATTTAGGAAGGATAAAACTACAAGAAAACGAAAGCCTAAAGTCAGATATGAGAGCAACTTGGGTCCTCATTCAAAAACTCCAAGGGTGAGAACGTCTCAACCCCCACTTTCTCAAACGACTCCTTCACCTTTAGCAATTCCTTAGAATACTCCTTCGTTTGTGAAGGCTTCCTCCCCTTAAGGAGTTCTTCTTCTAAAGAAGGCTTCTGCGGTGTCTCTTCCTTCCTCCACGGGGTTTGTCAGACTTGTTAGGGCCGCGACCTCCCTTTTATTGATAAAGGTGACTGTGGCCCTGGAGTCCAATGCTCCTTTTCTGCGAGACCCTTTCCCCTTGATGTCTGTTGAAGAGGAGTCTCATCACTAGCTCTTTGGCGTACTAGAGGGCTCGTCAGGTTAGGCAGCCAAGGGCAAGGGTTTCACTTATTAGGGATGTGAATCTTGCTGTTGATGCTATTTCATTTGTTGTCCCTGAATCTGACATCCAGAAGGCCTCCTCGATGCCCTTTTCCACCTCGTTGCCACCGCTCTATATGGAGCGGTTTCGGTAAGCTCTAAATTTTTGTCCTTTAATTTGGGTAGGTAGCTTAATTAACCTCAGTTCCTTTTTATTTTCACAGATGGTTATCCATAAGGGAGCCTTGGTAGGCAAGGTTCGAGCTTTAGAGAAGGTTGCTGAGGTGTCTTAAAAGTCTTTGAATGCCTTTGAGCTTAAGGTTGCTGAATGTCAATGATGATCTGAAAGCTCAGGTGCAGAACTTGGAAGACTTAGATTCAAGGCCTGAGCTTAGCAAATATGAACCTCAAGGCTGAAGTTAAGAAGAAGAGTGATGAGTTGAAGCTCAAGACAGATGGTTTGTTTCAAGTACGAAATGACATCTTTAACGTGCATGATGTTGTCCAGGTAGTGAAGAATGACTATAAGGGGTTAGCTGAGGTTAACTCTATCCTGCTAAAGGAGACTGAGGAGAAAAGGGCCAAGGTGCGGGAGAAGGGCACCCAGATATCTGAGCTTCAAGATGAGTGTGTCATGAACTGGGTTAAGGGTTATTTGCATTCCAAGTGCAAGTCATGAACAAGTACCCGGGTCAGGACTTTGACTTCGATCTTCCTCTGGACGAGAAAGAAGAAGGACCAGCTATAGTGAAGGAGGCTGAGCTCGAGGTTGAAGCTTCTGGTGTTATCCCTGCTGAGGATGAGGCCGGTGCTTTTAGGCTTATTCCACTTCTGCCAACTTCTTTTGAGGTGACTGCTTCAGGAGAGGTGGGAGTTCCTGAGACTATTCTACCCTCAGCAGCCTCTGCTGAGGCTGAGGTTCTAGGACCTATCCCCTTTGAGGCTTCCTCTGTTTCAACTGACCTTCCTCTAGCTCCAATTCTGCCAGAAGGAGGGGAAAAAGTGTCTGCTCCTGAGCTGCCCCAAGTTGCTGAAGAAATTGTAGATTCAGCTAATCCTTGGCGTGATCCTTGCAATCTTCTTGTAAAGGTTGTGCTTTTTATGTGATTGACATGGATAGCGTTGAGGTGGTTACGACTTCCTTACCTAAATATAAGACCGTTATAATTTATGCGTGGCGCTTGGGTGGAAGCTAATTGTTATCCTTGCTATTCCTATGGGGGTGCAGTTGCTAGGGAGGAGGTGTCGACCTAAACCTCATTGGTTATCTGTGATGAGCTAAATGATCTGAGTTTGGAAGGTCCGAGCTAAATGCCTGAGCTCAACCTTAGTTATATTTTGAGTATCATCAATATCATAAATAGATTAGTAGTGAGATTCACTTAAATATATATATTTTGTTATTTGTTATTTATTTGACAAATTATCTACCATAAATTTAAATAGAACCCTTTGTATAGATGTGAGTCCCTTACTAATATATGGTGGGTAATTTAACCAATGAGATTAACGGGTAAAAAAAAGTCATTGCAAACCCAACTAATCATAATACNCTACCATAAATTTAAATAGAACCCTTTGTATAGATGTGAGTCCCTTACTAATATATGATGGGTAATTTAACCAATGAGATTAACGGGTAAAAAAAAGTCATTGCAAACCCAACTNGCCCTTTAATATCTCATTTTTTTCTGCATAATCTTATTTTTTTTTATCAATCTGCACTTGGGTCCTTAGGGGTGTCAGCTGCGTAAATATTAGGTATAATGTTAATATCATATTTTCATTAATATATAATGTTACCATCTGATAATAAACTTAGATATAGGTAAGTTAAATATCATTTGGATGGTTATCAAATGATACGATATGGTGATTACTATAATATGTAAAATTCATCTATTTATTTGATATGCTTTTATTCAATGGTGACGCCACGTGTCAATAAGGACGTGGTGTCACTATTACAACAAATATTTTTTCCAAATGAGGATAGGGCAAGCTATGGTGGGTCGGGTCACAAAAGAATTAACACTTAACATACAATCAGAAGATCGGGCTGGGGCCTGATTCTTTAACCCAAGCCTTACCTTATTGGCCCAAGTCCTTCCATGGACGATTGACTTAATTGTGTAAAAGTCCTTCGAATAAAAATATTTGTAGCTAGATAATTTTTTGATATTTGTAGCTAGGTAATTTTTGTTTGAATGCCAAATATACTTACGTGTAAATACTAATCGGCGCAACTTCATAGTTTTGAAAACAGTAGAAATTCGAGCGTCATTCCCTTGAAATCTAGCCACTAACAAATTGCTAAAAAACACATAGAACAAAAAATTGTGAGAACAATTTTTTTTTTTCAAAATTTAATCTTCAAAAATAGCATTCACCATTTAAAATTCAAAAGAACCGCTCCACTCTGTAGCAATACGCTGGACACTATTCCATTTGTCACACTGTGACAAATAATGTGCATTCATATTGCATGATTGCTTCACAAACTAAATAATATATTTGACACAGTGTGATATCACAATGTGATATAAAAAAATAGTAAGTTGGTTGTACCCAACACTGTTTGTCACACTATAACAAACATTGTGTCACAGTGTAACAACATATTGAACAATAACAAAAGGTACCACCGCTAATTAACAACCACCGGTGATTAACATAAAAAAAATAATATAAAAAAATTTGGTTGTTGATGTTAAATTTTATGCATTTAAAATCAATAGGTCATTACATTAACATAGAGCATATATACACAAACCTGATATTGTTATTTGATTAAAAAATCACAAATCCGTTGAGACGTCTATGAAACAATACTCGTAACAATATCTGATTAGGTTTTTCTAGAATAGAATGATAAAAATCATAGTGGTAACAAATGATGATATTATTGACCGATGAAAAAATTGTAATGACTTAGATAGAAAACCAGACGTTGAATAGAAATAAGAAGATACATGTTTAAAATTTAAATGTTCTCATTCATTAATATAGAAATCTATTGATATAATAAAATCAAATCCCACAAATAAGGTAATTGTCTAAAAACACTATCCATGAATTATGAAAAAAGGTATTTAGGTAAAAAAATATTTAAAAAATTGATAATGTATATCTGGATACAACACATTTTTTAACTAGTAGTACTTATCTACAATAGATTTTCAGTAAGATATTTTTTCACAAATAAGTAGTTTATATGGTACATATTTACAATTTTCTGTTTTTAAAATTATAAAAACTTTTTACTTTTTCATACTTAGAATTTCAAATATATTTGAGTAGTAACAACGCATGGTTTAAATTGAGTATAATCCTAATATCATGGTATTAGATCTGTCAATAGACCTAATTTTAATATGAATCTAATTTGAATGCAAAATCGATTAGTGGGATATGAACTAAATTTTGATCTATTATTTAAATTCAAATCATATAAAGTACAATGCGAATATGAATTTATCATATCAATATTCAAGTCAAATTTTACATAGATATATGTAAACATATTATGTAATTTGGTGATTATTTTAAAAATGGGTTGAAAATCAAGTGAATTTTTTAAAATCAACTTTAGTTAAGTTATTCATATAAGATATCCAAATTTTAATAGATTCAAATATGGACAGTAAAAATAAAATTCATCAAATAATCGAGTAGAATTTTTGTAATTGAATTGGTACGAATATATGTCAAATCTAATTCGTTGACATACCTATATAATGTATTTATCAAATGTAAAATAGTTAAATATAGTATATACATAGTACTTGTCCACAAACACCACCAAAAAAAAAAAAGAAAAAACCTAATCAACAATAACCAACTAGGGCTAGCTTAGTTGATCACCCTTGACACTCCAATTAAAAAGCCAGGAGGTCAATTTTTGTCAAAGGTCGGTATTAATCTTTTATGTCCATTTCTTTGAAGATTGTATGTAAGTTATTTTGTGTCTCTCCTTGAGGGAATTGTCTGTTCTCTCTTTTCGAACTTATTTATCACTTCATTATTGTGGTAACATCTTGCACCTGTGATAGTGATCAACAGTTGAATATCAAACAGAAAAAAAAAACATTGATCGACAAATTTTACTCTACTTTTCATGATTTGCTTGAATCAATTTTAGATAAGAAATTAAACTTGATGCAACAAATGATTTTGTTGTTTTTCTATCTAACATTTTTCATTTTGATTTTCTCTTGAAAATGTCGAATATAATTATGACTTAGTTCTAACAATCCCATACATAATGCAATAGCGGAAAATTTATACACTGAGCTACTCTTTTAGCCATCTTTGTAGTTTGGTACCTAACAGGCCTTAGTGAGTCTGAATCTTTGGAGCCCAACCTTGAACCCGACGGTCTTGAGGTCCTGTTGCACTTCTGCTCGGAAATCAGCATATGTGAATGGCTTGTACTTTGAGCTTTTAATCACAGTGTCTTCCTCCGGGAACACAAAGTAGCATATCGAGATCCTCTCCTTGTGTTTGTTGACCTTCACTCTGTGTTTCGCACTCAGGTACTTGTCATTACTTATCGCCTAATAAAACAAATAATGAATGATTAGGAAACAATCAACTCAAATTGGTAACAACACACACTTTCTTCTAATTTTCTCTGGGTTACATTGGTGTAATTTGAGTAGGGACCCACTATACTCAAATGGATGGGTCCACCGTTTAATGTCCAATGCGTATCTCTAGCATTGATAGAAATTAAGAGTAGCAAGTAATGACTAAGCATTAACATGTTCATATCTAATGGTGTGTGTTGCACAATTGAACAAAGTTTATGATCTTTAGAAATTAGTTGGTCACTGACTGACTCAGTCGAAGCTCCTAAGCTCTTAAGAGTTGAACAAAAGAGATGAGAAATTGCACACAAAGAGTTTATAGTACTTTACTAACTTGAGAGCTAGACTAATCCATTTTTCAAGAGAGCCTCTTGCTCTTGAGGATGATTATATTAATGGGG